AATATATAAAAGAGTGTGTAAAAAAGTGTGCCAACAACTTAGTTGAGATAAACATAATTTGAAGTAAAAGCATAATCATTTATTTAAAAAGCTCTAGTTCTGTTATATAATAAATGAAATGTAGGGACTATTGTTTCTTGCTGTGTCGCTGCTCAATTCGGATTGTAGATCTCGGACATAAAATATCGTATGTCCCAGTTTGTATAATGAACAAGACCAATCGGCTTATGAAAGGTAATTTGATCAAAACATAAGGTTAATATCTACGGCGATTGAAGATGTACGCTGGTGGTTTAAATCACCTGAAAATAATGCTGGGTCCCTATATATTTATAGATCTAAGCCTCCCCGGAAATAAGTCTTACTACAGATTCTTCATTTCTTACTACAGATTCCTCATTTATTAGCTTGGAACCTGTTTGATGATAGCACAAGTGGGGTGGGAGGGTTGTCGGCGGGAGGGTCAGTGGAATATGTCAGAACACTATAATAAAAGTAATTTATCACATAAACCGCGGCGCAGGAGTGTAATAAAGCCATTTAATAAAAACGATATTACACTAGTGTAATAACACTTTGATGTGACGTCATTTGTGCTATATAGAAACATAGCGTTAAAGCGCGCTAATGTAAGCGTTACACTATAAACCCGTCATTGAAAAATTACTCATTTTAACAGTTTACTGTTCTTATTTTATATATGTGATAAAAAGAATATTAAATTCGTGTAGATTCAATACTTAATTAATTGAACTCGTTAAATAAAACAATATTATGCTCGCCAGAGGCTCGCATAATAAGGTTTTATTCAACTCGTTCAATAAATTTAGTATTAAACCACACTCATTCAATATCCTCTATATACAAATGTAGGCTTTATTTGTCGATTCATTTTGAACAGACATGCTGAGATTTAAAAAAAATTTCAGTGCCATTGACGAAGTGTTACAAAAACTTCAGATAGACAAAGCTCATAGGAAAATTATTCTCTCGAGCTTTATACACACGGGGGAGGAAGTGTTACACGAAGGATGGAGTTCTTATGATAACTTGTTCAGGAGTTCTTGTGATAACTGTCACGGAGTTCGTCGGAAAACATCTGTATATACTACAAAAACACTCGTCAAAAATGGTTATTTTCATCGTTCGAAAATGAGGTTTAGGTGCTAAATTAAACTTTAATGATTAAGCTTGTCTTACATCTTGTATTATGTGTCAAAAACTAATTCACAGGCCATTTTTAATCGCGTCTTGCTTCAAATCTGGTAGTTTTCAGTAAAATTTCCAAATTACTTGCCAATTCAAAAGTATTTGACCGGTTTATTTCTGGTCTTCATCCTTGCCATGCATAATTACCTAATTATAATGCAAAATTGCAAACATAAAGCACCGGCTAACAGATTTATACCCGAATTTTCAAATGTCCCGGAGTTCTTGTGATAACTCTGAAGATGTCACAGAGTTCTTATGATAACTTTTGTTATTGCCAGTGTGTTTCTTGCGCTAAATCACGGCACGTTTTAGCGTTTTTATTATTCAATGAGATTGTCAATCATTATGAAATGTAGCACTCTCATCCTTTCCGCAAAAAATAGGCTATATAATGTTGGTTTTGAGTGAATTATAGTTTAAGAGATATTATTTCTTACCCCCGTTTCTTTTTTTAAAGTATTGTTTTGTTTGACACAGATTTCGTAGACTGGAAAAAGGATTTATGTACTGGTTTCCTAGCAGTTTCCGGCTCCTAACAGTATTCTGGCCCTTTATCATTTTCATCCAGGCATACAGTCTATATTTTCTCAGTTAAGCATATCTATGTCTCTTCATCAATCAGAGAAAAATTTGTTTTCTATGTAATACAACTGTTATAATAGTACAGCGATTAATATGTTTCAAAGTTTTGTCTTAGAGACCTTGCGACACATACAAGCAACACCTGGGGAATTCTAGCCCATGCACAATAACTGAAATCCCATTCTAGGTAAATCACTACTTAACAATATATTTGAAGACGACACGGAAAAGTTTGGCAAGGTATATCTATTTGAAAAAACCCAGCTTAACATTGCTTATTGGTACTGAATTATATTCAAAATAAAAAAAGGTCCGAAAAACTGCTATGAAATTTTGAATAAATGTGAGCAAAGGTGTTACATCTCAGGCCTTTATTCCATTAAAATGTAAAATAAAAGGGCAACATTAAAATAGGTAATGCTGGAAAGGTACCTAACTTTGTTCTGTCAAAGTTCGCACTCGGTAGACAGATTTTTATAAGTTAAAAAGTGCGATTTGGGACCGGGACCTGCTATGAAACAAGTAGGGCATTTATGTATGTGATAAAATGCGCTTTGAAATACTCAAATATGGTATGTTCATGTATATTTTTCTGTCGGTGTTTGATGAGTATTTCCCCTTTGTAATCTTAGTGGAGGAAACTCTGCTACTTTGCTGTAATTGATAACAAAAATATAAAGTCAAACTTAGTTCGTTCGAACCTGGAGGAACAGTTCAATTTGTTCGAGAGATCGGTAGTTAGAGCCAACCGCAGTTGAGTTTTTATCATGTATCGTACTTTTTTAAGACATAGGTGTGGAAATTATCCTCGTTATATACTTATTTATTATGGTATAAAATGATACAAATTACTTAGCCCTTAGGTAAGGGAAGCATGCCTATATCTTGTCTGCTTAAGAAAGGTTATTGCTTAAAACATGTGAAACTGGGAACAACGTGTGCGTTTTGGGACATTTTTGTTTTGTGGTTTAAGCCATTATACTGCTGAATATCAGTGGCCGCTGGTTCAATTTTTACTGTAGATGATTGCCTATCACCTATTTATCCTTTGCAGGCACTTAAGACTAAGGCTCCCACGTTTACAATTTTTTGTAAACGTTTACACGACTGCTAAGAACCGAAACGATACCGTTTTTAAAAACGGTGGTACCTCTATGTACTATACACACCATGTATTTGAGTCGCCAAATGATGTCTTTCTTTCTATTTTTAATACATGTACAAATAAAGAATGTGCAAGGCTCATCACGATTGAGTCAGCACACATTTTTTGCATTGTAACCCCAATTTTTACCAAAAATGTATTATGTCACGAGCAATTTTGCACGGTAATGCTGTGTTGAGGGTTGTAAACACCCATTTTCCGTTTGTTTACTTTGGAATAAACCACTAGAATTGATAAAATCCATGATTAAGATATTTTGTAAGACAATATGGTCATTTCGATTAAACGGTAAACAATATCGTAAACGTTTATGAATGAAAATCGAAACGAATCCGTTTAAACGTGTAATCGTGGGGGCCTAATTACTTAAGACCAACGTTTTATCCTAATTTTTTGTGCAAAGGATGTTCGTACTGCATTTCATAATGATTCACAATCTTATTGAATGATAATAAACGCTAAAACGTGCCGTGATTTAGCGCAAGAAATACACTGGCAATAACAAAAGTTATCATAAGAACTCTGTGACATATTCAGAGTTATCACAAGAACTCCGGGACATTTGAAAAATCGGTAATAAATCTGTTAGTCGGTGCTTTATGTTTGCAATTTTGCATTATAATTATGTAATTATGTATAGTAAGGATGAAGACCAGAAATAAACCGGTCAATACTTTTGAATTGGCAAGTAATTTGGAAATTTTACTGAAAACTACCAGATTTGAAGCAAGACGCGATTAAAAATGGCCTGTGAATTAGTTTTTTTAACACATAATACAAGATGTAAGACAAGCTTAATCATTTTAGTTTAATTTAGCACCTAAACTCATTTTCGAACGATGAAAATAACCATTTTTGACGAGTGTTTTTGTAGTATATACAGATGTTTTCCGACGAACTCCGTGACAGTTATCAATTGAACTCCTGAACAAGTTATCATAAGAACTCCATCCTTCGTGTAACACTTCCTCCCCCGTGATACATATCCCAATGTATTAAATATGTGTGCCATACCTATCCCACCTTCCACGGAGGAAGATCTGAAACAGTTGTCAATGCCTTTAATTATGCCTCGGATCAATTCACCCTATTTATCTCAAAATGCAGTTGATTGTCAACAACCAGGGACATATATCAGCAATCAGTATTTTCGACAGAGGCAATGACAAGAAACCACGAAAAAAGCAGAGCAATTTGTGAACAGTGTTTACTGCACAAGTTGAAGTTTGACCCACTGCATGCATGGATACACACACGACTATATCACAGTGACATTGTGCCTAAGAGAATTGAAATCCAAATTACAGGAACTGTAGGCTAAGTCTCGTTTAATTTTCCAGTTCCTTTTAAACTTTATTAAATGGACTGTGCAAGGTTTTGGCGGCATTTTTGAAGGATATAAGAGAGATGCTAAACAGTGCAGCAGAACGTAATGTAATGATATTTTACCAGTCTAAATTAAAGTTTACAAATGTATTTAATTAAGAAAAACGATACGGTTACCATGAGTTGATTAAGGCCTACATGCATCCTTTAAAGTTGTCGGATGTCTATCATGTTGAAAGCTTTCCATCTTCAGTAAACCGTTGCTACTTTTACGTATGCCGCCCCTAATCATTGGGTGAACATACATGTAATTGTGTTGGACCACAGGTGTCCAGTCTTGGTGTCTTGGCTGATATTCACCCCCCCCCCAAAAAAAAAGAAAAAAGAAATTAACAAGCCCCAAAACAACTTTATTTTTCTGTGATAAATGAAAAAAAAAGCACGAAGAAGTATAAACTAAGGTCTTGTGTATAGGGAAAAAATATTTTTAATTTCTTTCATTTATCACAGAAAAGTTGTTTTGGGGCTTTTAATTTTTTTCATTCAATTCTAAATTCTTTGAAGTAAATCATTTTCAAAAGTTACCTGGACAGACGTCTTCCCAGGCCGCACAGAAGGAACCGGAAAGCTAAAACTTATTTTATAAAAAAAAAAGAGGTGGACGAAAATAAAAGGTCACGACAGATTTGAGTACGAAATTAAATGTTTGGTATGGCTGCGTGCTGTGAGAGTGAGGGAACAGAAAATGCAAAAGGGCTTTAATATTCCTATTTAAACACCCACAATTTCATGAAGGTAATAATACTGATAATATATCTCAAAGGTAAGTTCTAGAACGAATATATGCAGAATAACTAATAAAAATTGACACAGAAAAATAAAATTTAGCACGAGCGATCTAAACTATTCGCCCCATTCACTTTTCGAACCGTATCGGCTAATTCATATTTAATGCATTCATATGGGCATTAAAAACTGTTTTAAGCATTTATTGTAAAAAATGCTGTTTTTGTCACAATAAAAATTTCATATTTGATTTTTCAATTGACCATACTGTATTCATAATAAAATTTATCAACAGGGATCAACTCTATGCAAACTGAAAGTAGATAATATAGATTGAGTAAATGTATCAGTTCTTTCTTTTCAATAATCTGTCAAAGATAAATTTATCAAACATCATAAGAAGAGGTGTCGAAATGTCTGTTCTGTAGTCTGTACAAAGCAGAGCAGGAGTGATCGAATCAATCCTCGGTGTAGTCCAACGCTCGCAATCAGTGAATCATGAGGCAAGCATAATAACTAACAAGAAATAAATAAAACCATAACGCTTAGTTAAAAAAATACATTTTCTTCGTTATTCTTTCATTAAAAAATCATTAACCTCGTTATGGTTATATGACCAAACCACAAACATATTACATTTATAATATAAGGGGAGTGTCATTGCCATCTGATTACTATTAACGTTGGCCTTAAGCCCTTATAATAATTATAATTATAATCAAAATAATAACCTCTCCATCCAGGGTTTTTTCCAGGATTTTTGGAACATGGCCATTGGGAATTTCAAGCAATATTTTGTTAAATATTGGGAAAAATTGCATGAATTAAATTTTGCAGTGATAAAATGAATACAAAAAATAACTGTCTAGGATGGCATCTGCAAACATTTAAACACCATAATAGTGAAGAAGCCTTTATTTTCAAAGTTTTTTGAATTTGGTATTCAATATTTTTATCTTGTAACTTTTCAATTGGGAATTTTTTCCTGTGGATTGGGAAAATAATGTACTATTTTCAGTTGGGAATTTGACCAAATATCAGCTTTAAAATAAACCAAACAAAATCCCTGCCATAATTCTGTTAGAAGTACATTTGTAGGTTTAAGTTTTTTAATTTTGACAAATCAAATATGCAATATTTCTTTTTCCTTTCAGATGGTGTGAAATGTAATGCATAGCAGAAGAAATTTTATGAAGTACATGTAGTTATAAAAATAAGAAAATTATGTCGTTGTCCAAAAGGAAAAGTTTGGATGATAACACTGATGAACCTGACTTGAAGAAAGTAAAGGAATTCTCAGATGTTGAAGGAACAAATGGACATCAAAATTGTGCAGTTGTAGATGGTACTCAAGAATATGATCTTGAGGACTCAGATGGGTTTGAATTTGACCCACAATCTACCTTGAAACAAGATTCATTTGATGGTAATGCAGTAATTGATAGTGAAGCCATTGCCAAGTTGCAAAGAGAAATAACAGAGGAATATGCAGCAGATATTGATAGTAAGAGTGGAGAGGGACATGAAAATCCATCCACCACCAAAATATCTATGGAAAAGATTGTTTCTATTCAAAAAGATGCAGAACTTATTAAAGGAATCATACCAGGCAGTGACATTGAAACAATTTATGATAAAATTATGAAAAAGAGGAATATGAAAAATAGGGTAGATGTTGTAACAAATGATCTTCTTGAAGACAGTGAAAACATGAATGCATCAGCTGTTAGCAGTGCGTCAGATAGTTCAAGTGATGAAGGAATATTCAAAGAAATAGCTGAAGTTCTTATTGTGAGACCAAATGCTGATCCTAACAGAGTGTACGATCTTTTGGATCAGTTAACCGACACTGAGAATAGAGTTGAAAAAGTTCTTGGCAAGTTAACTAGTGCTGATGATTTACCATCAAGAAGTGGGTCGGAAACATCTGCAAGTAAATCAGAATCATCAAATGTAGAAAAGTCAGACTCTTTTAAAGGAAATGATCCATTTACGGATCCGGAATTTAGGAAGAATCCATTATTTAATGATTTAAGAACGTTACGTAAAGTGTTACCAGAGAAAGATCCAAATGAAATATATGCTTTCTTGGAAGCACACTATGACAAAGCCAACAGAGTGCAAATTGTTATTGATGAACTTACTAAATCGGAGAGCCAAGAATCCTTATCTCTACCAACAGCAGATTCTTCTGAGGATTTTGATAGAGGAAAAGCACCACTTACTGCTGTAGACAAATTCCATGCAGATTTAAATGAACTCAAAGAAATATTCAGGGACTGTGATCCAAATTATCTTTACAATAAACTAGAAAGTAGATCAGGTGAAGCAGATAGAGTACAAATAATAGCTGCTGACCTGTTTGAACATAAAAATTATCCAAAGTTGAAAGATATCAAGGAAAAAGAAGAGAAGGAAGATCTCAAGGATAAGATTGTTAATATGAAGTTTGATATGAAAACATTTTTGAAGAAGTTCACAAATCCTATGGAATATTTTCAGAACACATCTCGCACATTAAATCAGAATTATAAGGACCATGTATTGGTCTATATGAAGAATACATATCCTTTCTTGAAAGTTGGATATATTAAGAAAGTGTTGGAGCAACATAATTACCACTTAAGTCCAACAGTGAAGATGGTAGACCAAGAATTGCAGCTAATTGCAGGTATTAATGATTTTTTTTGGTAAGTCAGGACTTTTTTTCACAGAAGGTTAAGGAAGCAACTCTACCCTTAGTTTTTTTTTTGGGGGGGGGGGGGGGGGAATTATACAATATATTTTCAAAAGGGGAAGAAAAAACTTGATGTAAATTTCATTTTTGGGGAAAACTGCATGATTTCAAAGAATCTTTTAGGGGAAGCCACCCTTAAAACGGTCCCTGCTATAGAAGAAAAAAAGGCCTTGTAAATGTTATTTATAAAACTATTAGTATTAATTGTTTTCCTGATTTTATAGGGGTTATAATAGACATGTACAGATTTATTATATGAGTGAGGTAGGATTATCATAAGTGGCACTAAGAGGCTCATTTTGGCCCTTGAAGTGTTTGATGAGTTTATAAAAGATATTCGATCATTGATTATGCTGAAAAGTGGTCTTTATTTATATTCATAATTTTATCTCATATGCTACTATGCAAGGTAAAACTAAAGAAAATCTTGTGTTCACGTTCTGTTTCTAGCAGATTCTGAGATACTTTTGTTCAGAATCACATTCTCCTGGAAGACAGGGCTATTGCCTTTATGAAAAAAAGACACAATATATCTTGACTTGGGCATGTGAAGTAGAGCTGGTTCAAGTCCATCATGTGAAACATTTAAAAAGATTATTAAAAATGGTCTTAAAAATCAACTTCTTATATATTTGTTTGTTTTAAACAGATAGACCTTCCAAGAAAAAGCGGGTTACACCCAGATTCGAACATCTTGATTACCCGGAAAATCCTGATGAACCATTTTTCCAAGAAGTAATGTTTTGCAATCATAGGCAAGAGATTAAAGGTTGGTATTCTGATACATGAAAAATTGATATGTTAGTAAAGAGGTTCTTTAACATCTAAATCGAGTTGAATGTATTTAAGATTTTGTAATAATTTTGATCCATGAAGTTTATTTACAGCCATTTCAATAAACTCTATTTAAAAAAAGGTCTGTTTTAGATCATGAATGTATAGTGTACATGTATTTGATTTTATTGCAGATTACATAGGTGAGCAGACACGGGCGAGAAATTTGAAGATTGAGGCAGCTAGGAAGAATGGAGAGTTGTTAGAATGTGGTTGTTGTTTTGACGACGAGTGTTTATTTGAGGAGATGGCAGCATGTGCCGATGGCCATATTTTCTGTAAGGAATGTATACGACGGTCAAGTGAAGCAGCAGTGGGTGAAGGAAAGACAAAGTTTCTCTGCCTAACAGGTTAGTTTTCTGTCAAAGTTAAAATATCTAAGGGGACGTCAGTGGTAAAATTTGTGTAAGTTACTTACGTAGAGCCCTAAGAGTCACTTGCTATCACAACTTGGTTTATTTTAGGTAGCTATCCAAATTGAATCTCCTACTCAAAGTGTCCACTATTTTCCAAGTAAAATTTTTCTGTCAAAATCAAGTTGTGAAAATCTGTTCTGGCATAAACAGTCTTCCTGCATCAGTAAAGATGGAGAGTCAATTTCTTATTGAGGGATTGCTTAGTTTATTGGAGCTGGGATTTCATATGGGTTCCCCTAGGGTTAAGGTCAAGGTCACTGTTACTAAGAATGGAAAAAAATGTTTTCGGTCGATAACCTTGTGTGACTTAAAAATGATCTTGGGAGGAATATATTGAGACATTGAGATTTCAACAAACAAGTCTTTTTTTTTTCAGCTAAGTATGTCTCTCTTGGCATTTTGGGCAAACAAAGTCCCATTGTAAATGATATGAATAACAATATCACACTATGGTAAACCTAATTGAGAATTCCTTAGTAGCGTCCATGGTTGTATCAGGGCTCACACTGGCTCAAATAAAATAATAGCCAATATTTTTAACTTAAAAAAATAATAGCCAAAAGTTCAGCGGACTTTTCACGATTTAGTGATAAACAACATAAGCAGTTGATTAAATAAACATTACATATGAAACTTTTTCAGTTTTATAAGGATTCTCAAATAAACTTATACATTTGTGTATATTGATAACTAACTTTTTTACATAGAACCACAACTTTAATTGTTATTATATAACAGAATAAAAATGTTATATAGTATAATTACTGTATAACAATAATATTAAAGATTCATTATAACTTTACATAATGCTGTTATCAGACAATCGAATCATATTTTGTTCGCTATTACCACTGTCAATTTCCACATTTCACACAGAACTGGAGTAGATCTAGGTCATATTAGCCTATAGAAATAACACTTGCAAACTCATTCACAGAATGCAGCCTTTTTTCTGAATAACTTACTGAAAAAAATGTCATCATTACCAATGTTAAACAAATTTTCTGCCATAATAGTAAAGATTTTTAAACAGAACATAGCTTATTTTCACCTTTAAATAAATATCAAAATTATCGGTGTCGCGAAAATATGTGACAATCGGATTTTTTTTTCTGTTTTCTGAAGAAATATTCACAAATTTGGTTGTTGTGCAAATAGTTGTTTGGAAGTAAATACTTTTTAAATATTTTATCATTGTTTTCCACTGGCGATTTAGTCAAGCAGCTTAAAAGAAAAAAAATCAAAATTTGCCATTACTGCAATTTACGGTAAATTTTGGGTTGGTCAAAATCCAGTTTATCAATTTTAAGACGATTTTTGTAGCTTATTGACGGATTTTTGATGGCTATTAAAATGCTGGACAATATCTTTTAAGTACTTATATAATTTTACATCTAGCATGTATTTTTATCACCTGCATGTATTTTTATCACCTCGGGCAATAGTAAGCAATGCGTGACCGATAAAATTGACACTCAATTAAATCTACGCCGCTGGTGTTAATTGGGACTACTGCAGTCTTTATCGATTATTACACCTTATATAAACACTGTTGGAAGTAAAAAATAATCACCAGATTTTGTAGCCAAAATGCAAAAATAATCGCCAATCTTATAAAATAATCGCAAATGGCGACTATGGCGACTGACAGCGTGAGCCCTGTTGTATGGTTAAGGTCTTTGACTTCAAACCTCAAGGTAGAATTATGGAATGTCGTTGGTTCTACTAAGCTGTCCATTTGTGCCTAAAATAATGCACAGAGAGACCTGATGTCTTTTTCTACCAGGAAAGTTGGAAAGTCGCAATTTGACCTTTACTCATGTATTTCAGTGATCATTGTGAAAAGTGGCTTATTAAAAGTTTTAGGTTTATTTGTTTAATTTTTTTACTAGATAATGTTAAAAGAACTCCACTGAGGTTTAAAGTATGAAAACAAAAATATTTTTAATTTTTTACATAGATCAGAAAGTTCAATTAGAAAGATACACAAAAGATGATTAAGAGATATGCTAAGAAATGAATTGAAAATTATATTTTTGTGCTATTCATAGCCTGATTTGAGTAAAAAGAGTTGCAACGCTTTTCAAGTTTAGGTCATTTTTCACACTTAAAATAATTATTCTGGAAAAATGGAGTGAGCAAATGATCTGAAATTTTCAACACAAGTTATTGGTCTATCAAATGAAACATTATGTCGAAAAATTATTTTCAGCCCTGTGATGTCAAAAAACGTCAGTGGAGTCCCTTTAAGATAGATTTTGAATCAACAATTTTACTAACATTACATATATTACAGGAACATGTGAGTTAGAATTCCCGCTGACTGTGTTACAAGAGCTTCTTCCAGCTACAACGTTTTCACTTGCTTTACGCAAGATGCAAGAAGAAGAACTAAGGCAGGCAGATATTCCTGACCTAGTTAGCTGCCCCTTTTGTTCTTTCGCTACTATAATCCCTGATCAGGACGATAAAGTATTCAAATGTCTGAATCCAGAGTGTCTAAAGGAGTCATGCAGGTTGGTTCTTTAAGTAGATTTGTGTCTGAAAATTTTTAAGCATTTTCTTCCTTTGAGGTGTTATTTCTGACATATGTTTTATTTAGTAATTGTAATACTCGTTTCACTAAATTTTAAGTGATAATGGTGAGAAAAATGTCTTATTTGTCAAATTATTTTTTATGAAAGAATTTTAATTACTTTAAAGGGTATAAACCTACATCATATGAAATATTTTGATAAAATTAATCAACAGTAAAATTATATTGTGTCCAAAATCATACTGGTGATTTTCCAAAGAGTTGTAACATGGAATGTCTCTGTTATTGAACACGCATTTATATTGAACATAAACAGAGTAATGGTCTGGAACAAATATTTATTTGATATTTAAAGTAGGGTTTTATCCATTTAGCAAGTATTTTGAGTACAAGTCATTAGCATTTAAGGCAATTTACTACCATATTTCTTTCAAACAAGCATTTTTAAAGTATTCAAATAAATTTTTTTTGCAGTAGACATAATATAGCTTTATACACTTTTAACTGTATAAAAATAAAACATACTTGATTTCCTCAAATGTAATAGATTATGTATGAGATTAGGTAGCTTAGCTTGGCACTGAATTTTACACAAATAGCAAAATCACATTGATCTCAATGCTTCTCCTGAATTTTCAGAATATTAATATTTAACTTGTACAAACACAAACAAAATTTGAGCCGCGTCATGACAAAACCCATGTAATGCGTTTGCGACCAGCATGGATCCAGACCAGCCTGCCCAGTCTGATCAGGATCCTTGCTGTTCGCTTACAAACCCTATAACAAGTAGACAAACTGATAGCGAACAGCATGGATTCTGATCAGACTGCGCGGATGCGCAGGCTGGTCTGGATCCAAACTGGTCGCAAACGTGTTCTGTTGGCTTTGTCGTGACGCGGCTCAAATCTTAAATGTATTATTCAGTCATTTGTTCTCTTTTGTAAGCCTTGTCCAGCTGCTTAGCTCTATAGGGAGAGCATCAGATATGTAATCTCTGTGACAATTTATCTGGGACATATAGTCTAGTCTAAAAGTCATTTGTCTCCCGCTAATGATTTAAAAACAATGTTGGGTAACAAGTTGATCAGTTTTGGAGAAATTGGCAAGTACTGGTTAGTTATCCAGGATAGGCGATGAGGTTGGCAGACTGCAGAGATGTGACCGAAAAATTGTGTTAATTTTTTTTTTTTAAAGGGGACAAATAAACTTCTTTTTGTTAATTTCATTTAAGGGATGAGAGAACAACTTTTTTTTTCAGATAAATCATACTTTCAATGAAAAATATAATTATGATTACAATTTTTTTTTCAATACATTTTAGACTATGTAAAGAGTTGAACCATATCCCACTAAGATGTAATGAAGTTGAGAAACAAGGTGCAACAAACATGAGGACTTATATAGAAACCAAAGTATCAGAGGCAATGTTACGTATTTGTCCAAAGTGTAAAAAAAGGTAAGTTCTAGTATGTTGTCTGGTTGTTTTTTCTGAGAAGTTGGGAAGAGGCCATAAGATTAGATGATGTTGAAATAACAAACAAAAAGTACAGGTTAAGAACTAAATCAATTTCATAGCTAAATCAATTTCATTTAGAACTGTATGTTACATTTGCTATAAGGGCTGTTGCCTATTCTTGAAGACCTTAAAGAGGTCAGCAAATTACTGATATATCAGTTAATAATATATTTTTGATAAATTTTCAGATTCTACAAAGTGGAAGGATGCAATAAGATGACATGTACATGTGGAACATCAATGTGTTATGTGTGCAGAACACCATACATAGATTATGATCATTTTGATAATGGAGGGTAAGTGTTTGTAAAGTATATATATTAAACCTGAATACAAGAAAAAACCCACTCACTTGCTTCCAGGTTCTATTTTTTTTTTGTGGCGACATATAGGGATCATTTCTCTGTCATCTGTCTGTCTGTCCGTCTGTCTGTCCGAGCAAACATTTTAGGTTTAGGGGCTTAAAAACAGTCAAGAGAACAATAGGTTCATTCCGTGATCAAAGGGTTTAGGGGCTAGTAGCCCTTAAGATAACAAAGAAAATAGCCCCTAAACCCAAAATGTTGGAACGTCCGTCTGCCGTCCATCACAAAACTTGTTCAGACTACTCATAAACTACTGGTGCAATTTCATCCAAACTTTACAGGAAGGATCAGTACCAAGTCTAGTTGTGCTTATTGTCAGCATTTTCCAGTTCAATGATTTTTGTCAGTGTTATGGCCCTTTAATAATTTTTATTTTTAAAAGTTTGTCCAGAATACTTCTCTTATACCACGAATGCAATTTCAATGAATCTTTACAGGATTGATCTGTAGCTCAAGTCCTTGAGCATATTGCAAGGGTTTTCAGGTTGAATGATTATTGGCTGAGTTATGGCCCTTTGTTAAAAAGGTGTTGTTTTTTTCTGTGTGTTGCCAGATACACAAAAGCTTGTCCGGACTACTCCTCAAAAACTACTGGTGCAATTTTATTCAAGCTTTACAGGAATGATCAGTACCAAGTCTAGTTGTTCACTGTCCGTCTGTCACAAAACTTGTCCCAACATGAAATTGGCCATCATGAGGCGACACATGTGATTACTGATCGCTCTTGTATCGAGAAAGACAGTGTTTACCAAACATTAAACAAAAATGGAAGGATTGAGGTTCATGGCTTACTTGGCCCGTTGATGTATTTCATTTGGAGGGGGTAAGATATCTGCTGCCTATCCAGCTGTTAAGAAATTAAGATGCAGATAAATTTTAGGATACTTTTCTAAGTCAGATGGGGACATAAATTTTGGCTGCAAAGCCAGTGATCATAAAATTATTTAGCTTGGCATCCATAGTTACAATGAAATTTCCTACAGTGTTTAGTTCAAGTGAATAAGTCAAACATATGATAAATTAAATATTGCAGAATGTATAATATTTAACTCTCAATTCTCTTGTTTATCACATTGATAAATTGTTTAATACAGTTAAAACGGATACTGATCAAATTTTTGATAATATTCATAACGGCTTCTTGAATGAAAAAAAATTATTCAATGGATATTTTGTCTTATATGAGTCCGAATATACCATAAAGTTATTTTATGAAGAAAATCTAAGTGCTGTTGAAGAGGGGTGTCCTGGTTAGCAAAAATGCTTGCTGTTTAAAAAGATGATCTAATAACCATGTTAAACATTTAAGAAAAAGAATTCTTAGATTTAAAGAATTAACTTTTTTTCTTTATTAAAAGATATGAATATAAATTATATTTAGTTGGTATTTTGTTGTACACAACAAGTTTACAAAAGATATTTAATTTAAGAGTAGTCATATTCCCACTACTGACTAGGGCCATATCATACACAATAAGATAGCATGCAGTTGGAAAAAAAAACCCAGGTCTTTACAACTAAATTAAAAACAAAATGTCTTATTTTATCATAGTAAAATAAAGGTTCTTAAAATATATACCAAATTCATTAAAACGGATGAACATAACCCTCCTTAATGTTGAGCACTGTAGAAAGTTATGAGGACTGACTTTTGAAAAGTTTAGTTTATATTACTAGTTATAAAATGTTTTTGACAGACAATATGGGCCTATATAAACACATACTTGTTCAAACAGTCATTAATAAATAGCCATATAACCTCTCAAGGATATCTATAATGAATTTATTATGCAGCAAACTTATTTTATTACAGAAAAATATGAAATTACTTTATAAACCAATAGCAGCCATGTATAAATTTTATAATATAAACATCATGATTATACAATGAAAAGCAACTTTCAAAACTTACAGTATTTTAATCTAAATTTATCAATAAGCCCATGACATTGTTACTGTTTAATTTTCAGTTGTTCAATAGATAGTGATGTAAAAGACCTTCATGATACAGAGATGATGGAAGCTGCCAGGAAGGCAAAGGAGGAGTATCTCAGGGATCACCCTGACCAAGATCCACAACTAGATACAGATACTCTCATTAACAAATGTAAATATGAGCCGTGTCACAACAAAACCAACATAGTGGGTTTGCAACCAGCATGGATCCAGACCAGCCTGGGCATCCGCGCAGTCTGATCAGTATCCATGCTGTTCGCTATCAGTTTCTCTACTTTTTAGAGGGTTTGTAAATGAAAAGCATGGATCCGGATCTAACGACTGCAGACTGCACGTATGCACAGGCTGGTCTGGATCTATACTGGTCACAAATCCACTATGTTGGTTTTGTTGTGACACGGATCATATATTGTTCAATGTAATATTGTTAAAAAAAAAAATACCAAAAAATGTAAGTATTGGCTTGGTCTGTTTAAATGTTTTAAATGTCATGAAAACACTGGTATTATTAGTTTGTTAGCCTGTTTTTTAAGCAAATTTCAACTACTTTTTTGGTCATATTTCTGTAGTCGGAACACCTAACCAGCTTTCCTGGAGAACTAGTTAGTAATAACCAATTGCTCAGCAAGATACTGAGTACTTTTCTCACATAATTTCTGAAGCAGAGTTGGGAGAAAATGGAGAAAATGAATTGTTTTATAGCAGCGCGCCTCCAGATTCATGCTTATTGGTATGAAAATGTATTTAAATGTGCAATATTGTGAAGTAACCAAAAGAAAGTAATTTACTCATTATCAATGGCACTTTCAAATTATGTAAATAACCAAAAAGTGGACAAAATATGCATAAATTGCCCTTACTGTGTTAGTAACTCAGTAGAAAGAAATGTGGTTGTAAATACTGAAAAATCAATCATTAATCGCACATAAAATGCAAAATATTACTTGAATCTTGAAACCTTTTATTTTTCCTAACATCTTAGTACATTTTTCTCAAGTGTGAATTTATTGAAATTTTTTTTACTTATCTAGAGGCATGTAGCTTTAAGGCTTTTAGACATCAGTGCAGCTTCTTGAATAGGTTATAATTAATTCTAACATGACCCGCATTTTTCTCTATTGAACATAGAAGAACCGAAAGTGTGTGTTATTATGCTATAAAATCACTGTTTGACATTCAATATTTAGACAAGTGACGTAATCATTTCACACGTGATGTAACCCTAAAAATGTGACGCGCTGATAATAAGTACAGAAACAAATCAGGCACAATTTAGCTTAATATCAGGTACACCAGCATTTATTTTGTTGATGTCGTGTTAGAATCGAAATAATATATTCAAATCGGTGATTTTATCGCTTGATAACATCACTGTTTGCCATTCAGATGCGCATCATTATATCACTAGTGCTACGCCCTCGTGATATAATTCCTCGCATCCGAACTCCAAACAGTGATGTTATTGAACGATAAAATCACTGTTTGGGATATATTTTTTCTTAATTATCATCATTTTAAAATCCTAATTTTTTTGAAAGTCAATGAAAAAGTACAAAAATGCATAAATTTTATTTTATTCATAAATTTAATCCTTTCAGTAAAAGGGGCCTGGAATGATGAGATAAATGATGGATACGATGATGATAATGATTACGATGACTAATAGATGATAATGATTATGATGACTACTAAAGATGACTTTCCTGGTGATGGCTTGATGGAGGTCAGACTGAGAACTATTGAAAACTTATCAAATGAACATCAGGTTTTTCATTAGTTGTTTAAGAAAGAAAAAGTATTAGATGTTAGTGCAATAACTTATCGTGATATTCTTAAATTTAAGAATTTAATGAATCAGTCTTATTGAGTATGAAGGGCCAAATTGAAGAAATTCAAGAGAGTGGTTAGGTTCTGGAAATGCAATAGCAGTAGCTATGTGCTGACTGTGTGCTGCAGTACTACATTGTGAGACAGACAGACTGTGTGCTAAAGTACTAAATTTTTAGACTGACTGTGTGCTATAGAGCTACATATTCCAGGAAAGACGTTGATTATAGAGATATTTGATAATGTGCTGGTGATAATTGTAGTGATTAGTATTCAGTAGGATTTACCTCAGGTAGGATCTTAGTAACATATTGATGAAAGTAATTAAGTTTCTCTACATAGCAATCTTGGAAATGTTTTGTGTAAGAAACATCATTTTTTGTATGTTTTTCCTTTTTATGCCACCGCAGCATCTGTGATGCGGTGGCATATAGCGATTCACCTGTGTGTGTGTGCGTGTGTGTGTGTGTTTGTTTGTTTGTTTGTGTGTGTGTGTGTTATATAGATTATATAGTAAACTTAAAAAATCTTCTTGTGAAAAACCACTTGTCCAATTTCAACCAAACTTGGCAGGATTGATCCTTGGGTGAAGGGCTTCCAAAGTTGTTCAAAGAATTTTATTCCATGCAGAAATCTGGTTGCCATGGCAACCAAAAGGAATTATAAGAATAAATTTAGAAAATCTTCTTGTAAAGACCCAAAAGGCCTAGAGCTTAGATATTTTGCATAAGGCATTGTATGGTAGACCTCTACCAAGATTGTTCAAATTATAGCCCTGGGGTCAAAATCGGCCCCGCCATGGGGGTCATTGATTTTCACTATATGTACATATAGTAAAAACTTAAAATACCTTTTTGTAAAGACCCAAAAGGCCTAGAGCTTAGATATTTTGCATAAGGCATTGTCTGGTAGACCTCTACCAATATTGTTCAAATTATAGCCCTGGGGTCAAAATCGACCCTGCCCCAGGGGTCATGGATTTTCACTATATGTACATATAGTAAAAATTTAAAATACCTTCTTGTAAAGACCCAAAAGGCCTAGAGCTTAGATATTTTGCATAAGGCATTGTCTGGTAGACCTCTACCAATATTGTTCAAATTATAGCCCTGGGGTCAAAATCGGCCCTGCCCCGGGGCTCATGGATTTTCACTATATGTACATATAGTAAAAATTTAAAATACCTTCTTGTAAAGACCCAAAAGGCCTAGAGCTTAGATATTTTGCATAAGGCATTGTCTGGTAGACCTCTACCAAGATTGTTCAAATTATAGCCCTGGGGTCAAAATCGGCCCTGCCCCGGGGGTCATTGATTTTCACTATATGTACATATAGTAAAAACTTAAAATACCTTCTTGTAAAGACCCAAAAGGCCTAGAGCTTAGATATTTTGCATAAGGCATTGTATGGTAGACCTCTACCAAGATTGTTCAAATTATAGCCCTGGGGTCAAAATCGGCCCTGCCCCGGGGGTCATGGATTTTCACTATATGTACATATAGTAAAAATTTAAAATACCTTCTTGTAAAGACCCAAAAGGCCTAGAGCTTAGATATTTTGCATAAGGCATTGTCTGGTAGACCTCTTACAGATTGTTCAAATTATAGCCCTTGGGTCAAAATCAGCCCGGCCCCGGGGTCATTGATTTTCCTCATATTTACATAGTAAAAACTTATAGTAAAAACTTTAAAAACATTTCTTCTAGCAATTGACAAATGCTAGAGGTTAGATACTTTGCATGAAACATTGTGAAGTGAACTTCTAGCAAGAATGTTCAAATAATAGCCCTGGGGTCATTGATTTTCAATATATACATATAGAAAAAATTCAAAAAAAATCTTATTGTCTGAAGGTACAAGGCTTAGAGCTTTAATATTTTGTTAAATGATATCATTTTATAGGTACTCAACCAAAGTTGTTTCAAATTTTGCCTCCAGTGTCAAAATTAAAAGTGAACTTTGATATCAGCTGACCTAGATTTTGACAAAGTGTATTACATTATGTCCTTTGATGCAGTCATGAAATTTTAGGCTGTGTGAAATATGACCTTCACCACCAAATTCACTAGACTCAAGTGCATTGAAATATTCCTACTCTGATCTTTTATAGAGTTAACAGTAGATTTAACCACTAATCTGATAATAAGAATTAGATATGCATTATGACAATCTTCAATTGTATAGAAACAAAAATAATCTGTTCCTACACTACTATTTAGTGTTGTATTAATGCGGTGGCATAGCATTTTTCTCAAATGCAATCTTGTTGAAATCTGTGATAACACATCTTTTTTGTGAGTAGAAATATTTATGTTCTTGGCAATCTAGGGATAGAGTGTGGGAAGTACATGTAGATATTTTACTGGTACTGAAAACGGACTGAAACTTATATGATATATAATTATACTCAAATTCAAGTATTAAATTTGATATGTGTATGAATATTGCTACATTGTTCACTTTCATTGATATTTGGTCATATTTGACCATCAAGTTACTAAATTCTTTGTCTCAGGTAGCATCACTAGAAAATTCACATTATGTAGAAATTTAATCATGAAACCTTGCTTTTTAAAATAAAATTGAGAAGATGCACAGGGCTGGTAGAAAGGGGAAAAAATGACAGAAGATTTCATTTAGAGGAAAGTTGAATAAATAAGATATTGTAAAGGTATCATTTTTAAGGAAAAATTTGATTATTTGCCAAGGAGATGACACAGCAAACAATTGGCCAGAAAAAAAAACCCTGTTTGTATTTAAGTTCAAATATTTTCTGTCTTTATTTTGGCTCTAATTTTGTTGTGATTTTAAGTTTTAAATGATATAATTGTTTAAAATTTAAAATCACAACAAAATTAGAATTAATTTGCACTGTTTGTGATAGTTAAATGTCCCAAGAGATTTGTCTTTGTGTAGTAAAATTTACTGTCTCACTGGTCTGGTAAAAATGTAATATCAAAATGTAACAACTATCTTCTCTTGTTGCAAAATTTAATATTTGATATGCTTTTATTTACATACATATATTGCATATTTTGAATGGGCAGGTGTATTTGTTAATCAGCTAAATACTCAGCTTTCTTATCACTATTATCACAGTAAAAAAACTGTGGTGTGTTTTGTTTTTTCATGATTCTTCATATAACTTAAGATGTTAACTGTCAATATGTTTTTTAATTGTCAGGTCCTATTGCATTTTACAGATGAACAAATAGGTGTATTAACAGCAACATAAACAATTTAGGTATTCTGGTCAAGGGTGTGATTATCTGCCTTGAAATTGGCATGACAACAGAGCATGGACACCTTGGTTTTCTTTCACTATTCTTCTCTAGAGATGAAAATTAATCTAGAAATAGCATATCCTGTTATTCCTTTCTTTCCTCACATGTGAACAGTGTCCTAAAAACAGCCTTTGCTTTTCTTCATTTAATTTCCCAACATGTGGACAGTCTCCTAAAAATAGCCTTCGCTGTTCTTCCTTTATTTCCTCACATGTGAACGGTTTCCTAAAAATAGTCCTGGCTGTTTTTTATTATTTCCTCACATGTGAACAGTTTTCTAAAAATAGCCTTTGCTGTTCTTCCTTTATTTCCTCACATGTGAACGGTTTCCTAAAAATAGTCCTGGCTGTTTTTTATTATTTCCCAACATGTGGACAGTCTCCTAAAAATAGCCTTCGCTGTTCTTCCTTTATTTCCTCACATGTGAACGGTTTCCTAAAAATAGTCCTGGCTGTTTTTTATTATTTCCTGACATGTGAACAGTTTTCTAAAAATAGCCTTTGCTGTTCTTCCTTTATTTCCTCACATGTGAACAGTTTCCTAAAAACAGTCTTTTATGGTTCTTCAATTCATTTCCCCACATGTGAACATTTACCACTGTTCTTCCTTTCATTTCCTCACATGTGAACAGTTTCCTAAAAATAGCATTCAAAAGTCACTAAAATATTTATAAATGATACTTGTCATTTATGAACTGAACTATTGAATTTAGCTTGTAGTCCTTGAGTAACCTACAACAACCACAAGAATATCTATTCACCTGTATTTCAGTATGTATTTAACAGAATTTAACAATAGGGCACAAAACCTTCTTCACAAGCTATATCAACCCCAAAGACTAATGTAATGCACCAACAAGAACATATCTGTTGAATAGTTTAAACTATTGGCAAAAAATGAAATTTCAATTCCTAACACTTACTCATTGTGTGTATGCTCGACCTCACTTTATTGTGGTCTGTACTGGTAGTAGGCAGTATCCAAGACATACCTGTCAAGACAAACAGATTGGAAACCAGGATGCTGGGTAATACATGAAAGGTCTGTTGCAATTTCTTCCTTATACTGATCTATCTTCAGTTTTACACAGTCAATCTCAAATTAATAGTATGATATTGTCTGCACTTTCTGTGCTAAACTCTGTCTTTAGGCTCTTTTCCAAACTAGATGTAAATTGATTACAGTCTAAACAGTCACACAAACTTGCATACAAGTCACAGCATTTATGTATAATGTCACTGAAGTCATCCATAAAATCGAATGGTTTCTAACAACCTTTTCCTTCTGTAATCTGTGTTTTTACAATAAAATTATAGATTTTCATTACCTCACTCACATTTCCAGACGCACAGCATGGGTAAGTGATGAGGACTGCATATGACTGTTATTCGCCATCACAACCAGTCCTTCCACTTTCTTGTAGATAATCTTTAATTAAATTAGATGATCCAACATGACCACAATATCTTCCTTTCACTTCAGTGCCTATACCAAATGCTAAAGTATAAAACACAACTCTAACATGTCCTTTTTCTTCAGAAAGAGATTTCAATACAGAAGATTTTACATCATCCTGTGTTTTTGAATGGATCATGGCACGCATTCTTGTCTTGTCATCCCCAAACGTCCCATTTGCATAACCTTTCTTTTGGAGTGTTGATGAAAAAAGTTCATTTAGGTCACTACAATGCTCTTACACAATAACACATTCTGCAGAGATATTATTACTCTCAGTATTATATGAATAACACATGGGTTTGTGGTTAACAGTAAAAATATCATCCCGAGGAAAATACTGTTAGTGTCGGGTAACAGTATTTTTATGACACTGCCTTGAAGTTGAGCTTGACAAACCCAATTCTTCACATCAGTATCTAAATATACAAGCAACGTATGGGCACCCCTCGGAGAACCTGTAAGAATTGAACTGTCGCACCCTTTTGAAAATGTACAAAAACAATAAAGTTTACCAACACAGTAAAACAGAATCTATGGGATGAGTACTCATTTGCCAGAACAGGTTGAAAACATAGTAATGATTGTTTGTGTAATTTTGTGTACTTCTTTGTAAGCATAAAAAAGCCTGTCCCTGAATCTGAACTCTGTATGTTGACAGCAGTTTCTCTTCAACCAATGCTTGTTTTCTGATAGCTTTCCTAAGACCTGTAAGTCTCTCAATGGTCCATGATCTCACAGAACTCAGACTTTGGTACTATACAGTTGTCAAAATGACTGGTGTTTTGTACTAATTCAGCCTTAGTTTCTGACATTCTAACATATTATTATCTTGACACTCTAAATAGATGAAATAAAAATCTCTATCACTTAAACATGATACATGAACAAGGTGAGAGTTGTGCAATAATGGCACAAAATGATTTATATTCAACTCACTCGGAGAAGGTGGTACCAATGCTGATGACTACATAAGTTAAGTTTATGATGATATATCTGTGGGAACATTTCTTCCATACACTTTAATTATACCTATGATTGCATGTTTCACAGTCATTTCTTTGTCATGTTGCTTTCCTTTGTAATAGCACATCATCAGTGTACTGTTGAGAAACTTGATTTCATTATCTTATTATGTGGCACATTTGAAAAAGTATATAATTCTTGCAGGCTCAGCATATCATCAAGGGCATAATGAGCACAGTACTTTTTATTCAGCAATGTTTCAAATAAGAATTGTTGTCTGTAGTTATCCATACCAGGATTAATATCCTTGAAAATTGGTAGAGTATCCACATCACCTTAACACGCATTTGTAAATTCAGCTTCCACATTTACTACTTAATGTGCCATCAGAAGTTGAGGAAAATCAAATCTTTTCATATTGTGTCCTATTTACACTACTGATCCTATACCTGCACACCAGTTTAGGTAACAAATTAAAGCTTCTTTAAATCGTTTATATTTTTCTCCAAGCTGATGTAATTTTTCACTGTCATGATTATCTCTTCTCCCCCTGAGAGCTTTGTTAGTGATAGTTGCCATCTGTTCCCCTGTTTGTTCAGGATCTCCAAATGCATCTGGCTCAGAAGGATGGTCTGCAGTCATGAAATTATCCAAATCATTGTCTGAAGTTTCACTTTTCCTGTCACTGTTTGATCCACTGACATTTTAATTTTCCCTCTTCCAGGGTGTGAGACATTTGACTGATTGTTTGTGGTTGTTTTGGCTAGTTTTGCTTGTTGTACTTTGACCGACAGTGTTGGTGTTTTTAAGTTTGAGATGATTCACATCTTTATAGTGGGAACTGCTTCGGCAAGTATTTTGATATTTTTCATGGCTTCCGAAAATCCAGATCTTCAGAAATTCATTGCAATAACGATTTTTTTTATACTATAAATTCAAGTAATAAAAAAAAACAATTTAACTACTTATTAAAAGAAGTTTAATAGTGTATAAAATAATATACATTTTGTATTTGTATTTGACAGACCTTTTGAAGGTTTACCAGCAGACCGGGCCCTGCTCCATTTATGTAGCTGTTTTCAACAATATACCATGAATTCTTTGCTGAAGCCTGCAATTCAAGTCTCTTATTTCATGTGGTTGGTTATGAAGGCTGCTGTATGAACTGATCTGGTTGCAGGACTGCAGGTATGGATACATGGGTTCCATAGTTTGCACTGGCCTTGAAAAGTCTTTGAATTTGGTTTCAACCTTGAAAAGTCCTTGAATTCAGGGTTGCCTTGAAAAAACACTAAAATTGTCCTTGAATTTCAGTAAACCCCCTTGAATTTCGGTAAAATGCCTTGAAAATCCAAAAGGGTATAAAACCTGTCGCTGTAAAGGTCAGGCAAATTTTCCGCTACAAATCAGACATGTGAACAAAGGCAGCCCGATCGAGTGCGCCCATTTGGATCTGTTTTAGTAGTGTTTAACCAGCGTTACGGTTTTGGCACTGATTTTAACAAGCACTTGTGTATGACGTCATCGCAAATTGTGTACAAAATGTCAGCTTCCATTGTGAAGTAAAAAATGGGAAAATACACTAAGAAATGTACGTTTCAGCTCAAATGGCTTCAACAATACAGTTGGGTAAAACAAGTTATACAAGACCCATGAAAAGCACAATGTACCATGTGTATGAAAACACAAAAGCTTATCTTGTCACTTTGTGACAGGTGATGAGCTAAACATAGGCTTTTCTATCATTTGCAAACCTAAAAATTAGGGTGTGACGAAAAAACAGCAAAAAAATCTTTTGATGAAATAAGTGAAAAGTACAATTAAACATACAGACAAGCAGCAGTGAGTCCAAACTCTATGTGCCCTACTGACCATGTGAGTTTAAACATTTTTCCTGAACTTTATCCTGAGAGGCTGTCCAGCATCTTCTGACACAAAATTAGGGCAAAACTAAAGAAATTTTTGGGCTAAAATTATGGTACATAAAAGAAATCTTGGGGATCTGGCCCAAAACTTTGTAAGAAAGATAGGGAAAAGCTAGATTAGCCATTGTTTAATTCTGTAATTTGTATTAATTATTTTTTATTGCTCGTATTTTATCATTTAATTTCGTTACAATTTCCTGGGTCCATAGTCTGTCCTTTTCTGCTTCTGAACCAATGTTGTATCTGTTGAACACATGACCTATAATGTTGAAACAAACAAAAAATGATTACTATTGAGAAACTTTTGTTTTCTGATCAGAAAAGAATAGCTGAGCAATGTTGCTTCAGAAAATTTCTGCATGTCCCAGGTTTTCTTTTTATCAACACCCTTGCTAACCTGCATAACAGACCAGACAGAAAAGGTGGTGCAATGATTTCATTACTAAAACAATATGTTAAAATGACAAAATATTTACAAGAGGAACATCGTTAACCTGTGTAAAATATTTACAAGAGGAACATCGTTAACCTGTGTAATACTGAGAAATAAGACATTGGTAAGAATCTAAAAATATATCCTTTATGTTGCCATAGCAACCAGTTGTGATTGGAACAACATCATTTGAACAACTTGGATACAGAACCACCCAAGGATCATTTAAAATTTCTTTAAATTTTGCCAAGTGGTTTAAGAGAAAATTTGTTTTTAGACAAATGTTAGACGAACAGAAGAACACACAAAGGGGGACATCCTGCAATCACAAAAGCTTATCTTGTCATTTTGTGACAGGTGATAAGCTAAACATAGACTTTTCTATCAGTTTTTTTTATCAAATTTGACCCATATTAAGAATTGTTTCAGATTTTAAGCAAAGCATGATTTTGACAAATTTTCATGCAAATTTAACCAAAAATGTGGTCTCCATGATGTAAACAAGGCATTATAAGGAGGATTTCCATAACTGAACTTGGCCTAGAATTCATCAAGAGAAACATTATGACAAAATTTCATGAAATTCCAACCCAAGATGAGGCTTCTACTGTGTTAGTAAGGCATACAAACAGTATTCAGATGACCCCGCTTTTGACCCCAGTCCAATGTATTTTTGATCAAATTTCTAAAATATCGGACCTAAAATGGCATTTCTAGAGGGAAAAACTTTCATTTTATAGCCCAAGTGACCCAGCTTCACTCTCGTGCATGACTTAAGGTTTATGATCTGATCAAGTGTTTTTAATTGTATTTTATGGTAACATTATGATTTTGTGTAATATATATCTCTATATAAATTTAATATTAGGCAATATTAATTAGGAAAATGGTAAGTCTTGATATAAGAATGGTAGCATGTTTGACTCCAAATCCAGAAGTTGCTGGTTCATATCAAGGTTGGGGTATAAAAATTATTTTCTCTTATTTAGTCATTCATCTCTAGACTATATAAGAAAGCAGTCAGCAAATTGGAAAATGATGTTGTGTTTGTACTGGTGTGAGAAAACCAGGAAATCATTGATAGGTTTACTGTCATCTACAAAATGATCAATGATGTTAACGCTGGTGTTAAATCTTAATTAAATAAAATTACCAGAACTCATAATTAACTTACTTCTCAGAGCCTTTCTTTTATTGACATCCATTGGGACCTTTCCTTTAGACTGTTCATAAATGGACAGGCTAGAACACTCTTCCTTATTTATTATCAGCTCAAGAAGCCCAAGTGCCAATTTCCCTGCACTGCTGCTTGCCTTTTCTATAGCACTTAGTCGTGCTGATGGGATTCTTATTCCATACTGGGGACTACCCATGTACACAAGCTCTGTAAAAATAATAAACTCTATTACCTAGAGCAAGTTACCAAATTCCCCTTGAAACTTGATACTATGGTTAATTATATAGATGATAATTCTTGCAGTTTCCTGTAATATCAGATTATAATTTCACAGAGTGGGCACCTAAAATGATATTTATACCCCCGCACAACAAAGTTGTAAGGGGGGTATACTGGAATCAGCTTGTCCGTCCGGCTGTCCGGCCGTCCGTCGGTTTTTTCTTGTCCGCCGAATAACTCAAGATATCTTTGACCCTTAGTCTTCATATTTGGCATGGAGGTTAGTCATGATTAGTAGATGACCCCAATTGATTTTGAGGTCACTAGGTCAAAGGTCAAGGTCACAGGGGCCTTGACTTCAAAAACCTTGTCAGCCCAATAACTTAAGATTCCTTTGACCTACAGTCGTCATATTTGGCATGGAGGTTAGTCATGATTAGTAGATGACCCCTATTGATTTTGAGGTCAAAGGTCAAGGTAACAGGGGCCTTGACTTCAAAAAGCTTGTCCGCCCAATAACTTAAGATTCCTATGACCCATAGTCTTCATATTTGGCATGGAGATTATTCATGATTAGTAGATGACCCCTATTGATTTTGAGGTCACTAGGTCAAAGGTCAAGGTCACAGGGGCCTTGACTTCAAAAAGCTTGTCCGACCAATAACTTATGATTCCTTTGACCCACAGTCTTCATATTTGGCATGGAGGTTAGTCATGATTAGTAGATGACCCTTAATGATTTTGAGGTCACTAGGTCAAAGGTCAAGGTCACAGGGGCATTGACTTCAAAAAGCTTGTCCGCCCAATAACTTAAGATTCCTTTGACCCTTAGTCTTCATATTTGGCATGGAGGCAAGTCATGCTTAGTAGATGACCCCTATTGATTTTGAGGTCACCAGGTCAAAGGTCAAGGTCACAGGGGCCTTGACTTCAAAAAGCTTGTCCGCCCAATAACTTAAGATTCCTTTGACCCTTAGTCTTCATATTTGGCATGGAGGTTAGTCATGATTAGTAGATGACCCCTATTGATTTTGAGGTCACCAGGTCAAAGGTCAAGGTCACAGGGGCCTTGACTTCAATAGTTTGTCTGCCCAATAACTTTAGATTCCTTTGACCCACAGTCTTCATATTTGGCATCGATGTTGATCATGATTAGTAGATGACCCTTTTTGATTTTGAGGTCACTGGATCAAAGGTCAAGGTCATAGGAACTTTGACTTCAAAATGTTTGTCCACCCATTAACTTAAATTTCCTTTGACCCACAGTCTTCATATTTGGCATTGATGTTGATAATGACTATAAGGTGACTCCTATTGATTTTGAGGTCACTGGGTCAAAGGTCAAGGTCACAGGGACCTTGACAAAAAAGAGCTTTTCTTCCTTATTGCTCAAGAATGTCCTGTCCACAATGTATTGATTTTGACATTTTCACATTTGAAGCATGTTGAATACATACTTTAGCAATGCACTGGCTTAGTAACATCAGATTTGGCAGGGAGGTTGTCCTTTAGCTCTAAATGGCCACTGTTGATTCTGACAAAGTTGTATGTGGGGGTATTCACGCCATGATAGTAGCAGTTCTAGTTATTTTCTGTCGATATATCACTGGTATTTATTTGTACATTATATAAAAGCAGTTTAATTGCAAGTGAACATTGTTGAACCTGACAAAATGATATATAAGCTACTTTGCTGATATCTCTGGCTTAAAGGTTAGTGTTAATGTAATTATAGAAACTTCATTTGAATCACTGTCATTGAATGAAGGGAGACTTGAACTTCTTTGCACCCCTGACTGAAGTGAAGGTGTCTGTGGGCTCAGAGGTTTCCATATCCTTTTAGTTGCGCCCCTGCCAATAAGTTCATGATTTTTTTATGACAGTTCATAAATTTCATGAAACGCAAAATTTGCCTTTCATGAACCAAAAGTTTGTGAATGTCATTGGAAAAAAGTTCATGATTTTTTATTATTATTTTTTTTAGTTCATGAACTATTATTTAGATGAAAGTTCATGAATTTCATGAAACGCAAAATTTGCCTTTCATGAAACAAAAATTCATGAACCAAAAGTTTGTGAATTTCATGAAAAAAGTGCATGAATTTTTTTAGTTCATGAAATATTATTTTGTGAAATTCATGAACTTTTGGATCATTCATGAAAGACAACTTAATTTCACGAGCATGTGTAAGAAGTTCGAGAACTATAATACACCCCAACTAGCAGACAACAGGCTATTCTTATCATTAGGTTTTTGAGTAAAGATAACCAGTTGCGTATCTCACTGTATAAATCGTATGTAAAATGGGCTGACATATGGTAGGTTTAACAGTTAATTTAAATACTTTGGTGTCAAAAGATATGTAAAATTATATACTGTGACAAAGCTAAGACCCCAAGCTTTCCATTGATGTAATAATTTTTAAAATCGGACATTTAATCACAACAAACTAGCGGTTTAAAAATAGCTTTATTTGTATTGTTTTAGCATAAGAGATACCAATTTTACTCGAAGATAAGGGAAACAACTCGTATTTTTTTCACTCGATATACCTCGGATATTTACGTAGTTCAAATGGAAAGTGTTTATGGGTGTATTATGTAAGTTCATGAACTGTAACTTTTAAAGCGACAGCGAGTGATACACAGATGACGGAAACTTAAAAAATAATAAGTTTTTTATGTTCATCAATTATTCAGAGATAATAAATGCCAATGCACACATTAATCAAATTTTCCTCTTATTTGTTGTTTAATATATGTGAAGTAAACCGAAATAAATGTTATCTAAATTAGGATCAATGTTTACTAAATAAATATTTACAACCAGGGGAAAAAATAAGCATAAAAGTTAGAAAAAAAATTGATACATGGAAGCAAGACACATCTAAGTTTAAGTAAATGTTATTGAATTTGTATTAAGTTTTATCTTTCCATGACACATTTTGTCACTTTACGTGCGTCTTAGCACCTTTTTGATATTTTCAATTTTTTTTTAAAAGTTGGAATGTCATAGCTGGTTTGTTTTCCTACTGCAGTTGTCAACTTTCTGAAGTCATTGCAGTACTACCACTGTGAATACTTTTTTTTCCAGTTCGAGAACAGTTTTTTAGTTTCTCTTCAGAAAAGTAACAACTGACGAGATATTTCACTGTCAAAGTATGAAGTTAATCCATTTATTGATTACCATGTTACAGACATAGCAAAAGCCAGTCAAAATTCAATAATTCAACCTTCAAAGTCAAGCAAGGTGAAGTTTAGTTTGATATACATAAAGTCTTATCATAAAGAATGTTCTGTAACAATACGATGTCAATACATTAACAATAACAAAGTTTTATTGCCAGTTAAAGCCACTGTGACCTTGAACCTTTGACCTTAGAATAAATAGGGGTCATGTGCAGACAATCGGCAACATTCCTACCAAGTTACTTAAACGATAGTATATTCCTTCTCAAGTTATCGTCAGGACAAAGATAACAGGATGTAGGCACGCACAGGCCAACCCCATCACAGGATGTTCCCCACTTTTTAACATCAGAATAGAGTATGCAATAAAAAAAAATCTCACCATATTCAGCATCATCCTTTTCTGGTTCAGCCGCTGCACAAATGTAATCCTGTTTTGGTTCAACCCATGCACAATTGTAATCCTTTTTTGGTTCATTTCCTGCACAATTGTAAGAAAAAACAAGTGCAACACTATATGCTCCCACTCTGTGGGGGCATAAAAATCAAAATCATATTAATTTTAAATGAGATAACTAAAACATATATCAACAAAACCAGCAAATACTCTTAGATTTAGTGTAGTTATTATGAAAATATTTTCTAATTTCTTAAATATAGATCTATTTTTTGAAAAGAAACCTATAGCTCAAAAATGAAAAAATGCTTAATCAATATGACATGTGTTTTAGAGTCATAAAAATTTAGTTGATACATGCATAGGGGGATTTCAATATAACTTGGCACAAATGTTCACTATTATGAGGCAGAGTGTCACACACAAAATTTAGGTCCCTGCTGCTAAGTTCAAGGTTACACATAGGGGTCAAAGTTCAAAGTCTAATGATATTTGTCCTTCATCACACTTTTTAGGTCACCAGAGCTGAAGGCTCAGGGTGAGCTATTAGTATCAAAGGTCTATTCTCCGGCGTCCATCGTCTGTCAACATGCGTCAACAAGCGTCTTCTCTCTGAAACTACTGGGCAGATTTACTTCAAATTTGGTCTGTAGCATCCTTATGACAGTCAAAAAAATTTGCTCATGTCATTTTAATTGGCCTCTTTTAGGGGTCAACAGAGCTAAAAATAGAAAAACCTTTAAACATCTTCTCCTACATAACTAATTGATGGATGATCACCAAACTTTGTCTGTATCATTTTTGGTAGTATTTTATCAAGTTTGCTCATATTAATTTGATTGGCCCCTTTTAGGGGTCTGTAGGGCTAAAAATAGAAAAACCCTTTAAACGTCTTCTTCTACAGAACTAATTGATGGATGATCACCTAACTTTGTCTGTAGCATTCTTGGTTAGTCTAATATCAAGTTTGCTCATATTAATTTGATTGGCCCCTTTTAGGGTCAGCTAAAGCTAAAAAATAGAAATACCTTTAAATGTCTATTTCTATAGAACTAACTGATGGATGATCACCAAACTTTGTCTGTAGCATTCTTGGGTAGGCTTTTATCAAATTTGCTCATATTAATTTGACTGGCCCCTTTTTGGGGCCACTAAAGCCAAAAATAGAAAAACATTCAAAAACATTATTTCCTACTGAAATAATTGATAGATGATCACCAAACTTTGTAGCATTATTAGGTAGTCTTTTATCAAGTTTGCTGATATTAATTTGATTGGCTCAAATTTGATATCAGAAAATATTCACAATGGATAATTTCCAACACTGAAAAGCAGTTGTTTCTGGTGAGGGACTCAGTGCCATCCGTCATGGCCCTCTTGTTAATTTTTTTATGTGGTTAAGTTAAAAAATAATGGGTTAATATCGGTACTGAAGTCCGGAAAACTAATTATGAAATTCCTTCAAGTCAATTAAAAAATGCCTTAAAGTTAAGCACAGAATTAGTCAAATAATGTCAAATTAAACTTAAACGAATAAAGTTACCCAATTACACCTTTAGCATCCTTTTCCTCTGCTATTGGACTCATGTCCATTTCTACTAATTCTGTCTCCAAAGAACGGACAGGTGGAGTACTACTGGTCTTTGGTGTTGACACAGTAACTGTCACGGTTGCTTGGAAAGTTGTTGGTGCTACAGAATTAGTCAAATAATGTCAAATTAAACCTACACGAATAAAGTTACCCAATAATACCTTTAGCATCCTTTTCCTCTGTTATTGGACTCATGTCCATTTCTACTAATTCTGTCTCCAAAGAATGGAAAGGCGGAGTACTACTGGTCTTTGGTGTCGACACAGTAACTGCCATGGTTGCTTGGGAAGTTGTTGGTGCTTGGGAAGTTGTCGGTGCTTCAGATAGTGATTCATCTTCTTTCTTTGAAGTTTTTTTGTTTCCCTGAAATATATACAAAATATTTAATTCATCCTTTTATCAATGACATGAGCTATGATTGTTCTCAATAGTTCTGAATGTGTAACACTAACATATAATTAAAGGACATTGAATGGAATAGGTTGACACCTCAAAATTTTGTTAATTTTTTCTTTGTCCAATAACATAAAAAACAACCATATTCTTAAGAAAATTAAAAAAATTAAATTAAAAAAAAATATTACTCCTTAGGCAAAAATATATAGTGTATGTCAAATCTGTCAAAGGAGGAAAGATATGGCAATTTTTTTCTTTAAATATTCATTGTTATAGATCTCAAAATAGTTATGAAAAAATGTACTAGTAAATCGATCCATTTTTGTTTATGCTTAAATATGACTATATGTAGCTAATATCTATATTGAATTTAATATCATAATCAGATCATGATTTATTTGAAACAGAATATACTAGTGTTGATTGATTTTATTATTGATGAATAAAATCAATTAAAAAACAACTTAGAGGCAAAAAGGCATTTATCTGTTAATGAAATAACAAAACAACAACATTATTATTAATTATATTTCAATATCTCGATTATCCCTATCTAACTCCACCGCCCTCTCAAAATACAACTCAGCCAATTCATTCTGTGCCTTTCTTCTCCTCTCTTCTCTGTCTACCTGCCTTTGTCTCTCTCTCTGATTTTCTTTCTCTGTCTGCCTTCTTTCCTCCATCAATCTTCTCTCCTCCTGATTACCTCGTCTCGGCTTTACTCTTCCCAAGGTTGACTTACAGTGCGAGTTGACAACTTTAACTTCCTCTGAATAGTGGTAATTACCA